AAAAGGCTGCTCATCGCCGACATCCTACAGTTGGCTAGCGGAAAATATGCCAGCGAGCCGCTCACCTATATTGGTTGGGCCATAATGCTACCGCTGAAGTTTCATCTCTGACGCTTGTGATTCATCTTTGGCTTCCTGGGTGGACTTTGTAAAACAATGACGGAAGAACTGGAAGCGCATGGCACTCTATCGATGAAGAGAAAAGAAAGGGTAAATCGGGGCACATGCACGTGGTCGGGGCAGTTCACCTCTAGAATTGGCATCAAACGAACGTCTCTCCTTCACGTCTGGGCAACGAGTCATTTCGATACACTGCGTGTGCATCCTCGCTGCCCTTGAGAGGGAAAATTTTCGTGCTGCCGGGGAACAAAAGAGCCTGTCCGAAAGAAAACATACGCCCACGAACACGCCTGTGAGAGATGCGTGTTGAGGTGACAAAGAAAAAAAGAGCGCGACACTCACACTGACATTTCTGCACCATTAAAATGTTGACTGGGTGGCAGCGCTCACGTGTTTGCGCGTGGTGTTCTCTTTTGTGTGTGAAACGGCCACAAATGCTGCAGATTCGTTTCTAATGCCATGTTGGTTCTTGTAGCCATTTTTCTCGATGCTGATATAATGCCCTTCGCACTGTCTTATTGCCACGGCCGCTGCAGTGCAAGCGTAGCACCCAAGATCTATAAGTGGGTAAATGAGAGTGCTTATGGCCTTAATCGTTAAAACACCTTCGGCTCGTTCTCCCGAAAGAAAAACCTTCACCTTGATTTAGGTATTGACGTAAAGAGTCAACGTCTCTCTGTGAAAACGGCACAGAAGTTTGTAGGCCTCACCCTAGATAGGAAGCAAACGTTTATATAAAGCAATAAATATTTCAAAAAGAAGTGCACAATATTTCGTCATATCGTACATACTATGGTGACCCTTGTTAAAAGACACTTGCGCAGAGAAAGTGATCGTGGGGCAATTTTTATGAAGCTACGGTGCGAAATGACACTCAACCTGTGTACAAAAATTGCACTCTTACACGTGTTGAAAAGTCGCTATTGTTTTTATGACTACTTTTTTATAGCGGTGAAGCGTTACGGTGGTTATCACCGTGGTGGTTATCAACACCAGAAGCTGTAGGCTGATACGTAGCGCTTGTGCTTGCAAGGATGGCAGTCCAGAATAGAGCTGCGACCCTTGCAAGCACTGCTCCACTGGACGATGCCTAAATTACAACGGACGTTAACTCGACGTGACGCCTGTGTCATAAGGACACGTATATTTGCAACACTTGATCACCAGTACTGCAAGCACAATTGATGGTTCATCAAGCAGTTTCGAGACCTGGCATGGTTGCGTGGGAGGACAGCTGATAACTTCGCAAAATGTTTGGGTTTGGTTCCTGATGGCACCCTGATTTTTATTTGTTAGGTTCGTCCGATCAATGCTGTCGAGAGCGATTTCACCTAATCCTCTCGTGTTCAAATTACCAATATCTGTTGGAGCTGTTCCAGGATGATATGTGGCATTTTTTCTGATATGATTCAATTGTATAAACCGATATTGAGCTGAGGTTTACGGGATGAAAAAGCGCACCTATGTGTATTGCTTTATAAAACAACTGGAATGTCGGGGGAACTCCTAAACATAACGAAAGCTTGCAAATTGTTTTCTATTCTGGAATGAGCCGAAATAAGAATCAGTTTGTATCAAACAGAGCCACATTATTTAAACCAGCGCTGAGTCAAGAAAATTGACAGATATATTCACCATTGCCTGAACACATTTTTTTTTCAATCAAGTCCTAATGCCTTCGCTGTCACGTTTACGTTCAACGCTCAGATTTTCTATAGTGAACTAGTTTGCGTGTACTGGATGCCATAATGTTCTCGAGCAAAACTTCAATATGGAAGAAAGGTCGACTTTTCAGGTGTTTTTGTCTGGTGGTGTTTCTTTTCTAGTTGCAATGTCATCGCCTTCTTTCGCTCCAGGACTGTGTATTTCAAATAAAAGATATGATATCAAGATATTGGGCTTTGATCTATTTTTTGAATTGTTTCAAAATGGCACGGCATAATTGAGAAGATGAAGCGCTGGAGTATTTTCACGGCATTCAGTAGACGCAAGATAGAAGGCACCGCAGTCCACTGCCCAGAGTAGCGCTCTTTTTGTCAGTGAGGAGCTGTCGCCCATCATGTCTCGAATATAGTGTCGCGATTACGCCCACGAGAATGATGGCACTGACGATACCACAAAATGGTGTTAATTTTAATGCACAATATCACTGTACCTACATTCGAACAACTGAAATCTTTTTTACGGGCTGATTGAAGTGCCAAAAAAATGTCCCACTTTAGAGAAGCGAAATGCGATTTTTAAACTAAACACCTACGATAAGGCGCTTTGTCGGTTCCAGCTGCAATGACAATTGGGGGCATTTCTGGGATAGAAGCACCCTGGCTGAAGAGTATTGAAGCAGAATCGACAAAGGTCTGATAAGTGGAAATGTCCGTTTTTTTTCAGAGTACAGTAAAGTACACATTGATTTTTTAAAAAGATAGTGCCACATGCAGACTGTCGTTCAGCTGTGGCACACACCCTCCTAAATTCCCGAAAAGTCACCCGAAAAGTCACCCGCGGCCCCGAGGAAGCGGTTTGATGATGTACAAAACGGCATTTTCACGCTAATCGCGTGAGGACTAGGCAGACACATTCCTGAAACGTTATTACACTCCTATAATGACTGCGGTTACAAAATGCAAAAGAGTTTATCACGAGAGCGCTCAGATGTAGGGGCTTGATAGAAATATTGGTAAATAGATGAATGCAAAGATAGATAGATAGATAGATAGATAGATAGATAGATAGATAGATAGATAGATAGACAGGCCGAAGGACAGGGTCAGCTAGCAAGAGAACCGATCCTTCAAGCTAAGGGACAAAAAGGGACTGAGCTGGTGCTACTTAGCTGGTCGGAACGAGCTTGGCGTACCCTGCGAACGAGTGAATGTTCCGAACTGGATTTAGCAGTGCTGTTCTTGTGGTGAGCGAGCGAGCATCTAGGAAGAGCAGCTGACCCCGTTCCAGTGTCAGAGATTGTGGCCTCAGTGTCATGTTCGACCGGGTCTGGCACAACCGGCCCTGAGATGGTGGTTGAGGGAGTCCGCTACAGCCCTGAGCTCAAGGCGTGGCCTCGGTGCTACGTCGGGCGCAACGTGGCTTGCGTGTTCCATAACGAGGAGTTTGCCGTGTGCACGTGCACCTCGCACGAAGTTTTCGTGCACACTAGCATGACTTTGCCTTGCTTTTACCGCTTCGTGCTTGTATCGTCGACGCACTCATGGTTCACTGAAAGTGACATGGAATGAACATATACTTCAGGATGCACCGCATTCTCCGTGTGTGTAGGCTTAGGAGTGTCAGGTATAAGGTTTAAACGCTCCTTGTATTGTTTAGCCTTTCGTAGTGAGCGTAATAGTGAGCGTAATTGTTATGTCAAGTCTATAAAAGCTTCCTGTCTTCTTCGTGGTTGTCCGTGTCTGAGAATCACCACAGATAGAATGCTTGAAGCGCCGTTATTTCACTAATACTTCCCATTTAAAAAAAACGCTCAAAGTTTTGCCGTGGTGTGCACAAGCTAGCAGTATGGGATGTGTCTAATTAGTTATAAAAGCCTCATATGCCCTCGCCTAGACTGTGTGGCAGAAATATACTAGTATGTGACACCAAATGCTTTAACCATCCTTGAACCTCTCCACCATCCAGGTATTTTACTACTTACTAGCACTTTTCTTTCTAGCCCCGTAGAGAGAGCCTCTACAATGAATAAAGGGAGTAATTGCTTCAACAGTTGTTATCCTACTTATCTTTTTGTTTGTATTTTCTGAATGTGAACGCAAACAAGGAACATGCATCACACTCCACAATCAATGATTTTCCCAGTTCCCTTGGTCACATAATTATTTTGATGCGACAACCCTATGCACTCCAAGAAATTGGTGTACCACTCCATGAACGCCGTGTGGTGGCCCCTGCTGCAATTACATGGCGTGGATCTGGCACTCTAATGAATGATGTGCGCTTCGTCAATGTACTGAAACATGCGCTTATCGCATATCCGTGCGCACTTTCTCGAATTGCGAAACAAAAGCACTTGCCCTAAATTTTTTTAGAGATGCCGCAATGCCCTAGCATTCTGCGTCCTGCGCAGCGATATGTCCATTTTTTAGAAATTCAGACGTTTTTTTTTCATCCTCATTGAAGAATATTCAAAGCCAAAACTTATGCGATAGTTGTAGCCAATAAACGCATCATAGAAATGGTGTTACAAAAGGCACTGAAATCCACTCATTGCTTACTTGCTGTAAAAGCTTTCGAAACCAGCAAAAAAGGGAAATCCTGTTTTTTCTCTCTCTACTCAGTCTTATGCACAGTTTATGCGCTAAGACAGCACGTCATATTGTGCTGGATGCAAGAAACTAAAGCAAGCAAACTAGCACTTTAGGCGCGCATTCTAGCGAAATAATTGTGATTCGAAGTGCCTTGAATAGGTCCGGTTATCTTAGCTGGGTTCTTATGTGTGTGAATAATCTGGTTTATGACATATGTGCAAATCTTGTGAGCGCAACGGCATAGTTGTGCAACCTTTCGAGCATACTGCTCTTACCCTCATTACTATATTTAGGTAAACACAGAAGACCTTGTGTTGGCATTTCACAAGTGATACTTAAGAATAAACGTGGTACTTTTTACGCTTATTGTATGCAAAAACAAAGAAAGGTAAGCCCGGAGTTAAGCTGGCGAAAGAAAATGAAACTGCGTAAACCTTAAGCACACAAATTTCCATTAAAACAGTCACTTCTACGTTTGATAGCCAAAACGCATAACCTAAATTACGCGAAAACTATTTTCTACGTATAAGAGCAGTGAAATAACATGTACCTGACTCTAGCGATAAGCACGTCTCTCTACTGTGCGTAAAATGCTTTTGACTGCTTAACTTAAACGTGTTTCAGGACGGGGGATCAAAGTCCGAGGGTCCTCTAGAAGAAGTGAAGGATTTCATCATGTACAACTGGCTCTACTGGGGATTATTAATGCCTATGAGCATTGGACTGATTACATCTAGCTTCGTAGTCAACCCTTCGAATGAAATACTCAATGAAGCCCGAGACTTGCAGCTGATGACTGGTGTATCAGGATGTCTTTACATTGGGACCAATTTTGTTTTTGATTTGTTGTTCTATATAACACCATTGACGGCAATATACTTTGGATTCGCAACGGCCTTTAACCTCTCAAGTAGCACACATGGTAAGTATCGATTCCAATTTGTCTAAAACAATTTCTCATGTACAAAACTACTCGTTCACGTTTGGTGCACAGGTAGAACAAGGAAGTTACTCCAGTAAATCCTTAACCTCTAAGCAAACTTTTTGAGCACTAGAACTCCCACCGCACTAAAGGCAACGCAGAGCGCGAGCGCGACAAATCACAATCGTAGTTATCAAGCCACAAGACAGTGAATCAGAGGAATGTAATAGCAAAAAAAATATAGGTAACGCTAACATGACTCTCACAGCATTAAACATCAACCTATGGCGTATTCAGTAGCAGATGATACAATGCTATAATTGCCTTGCCGAGAAAACAAATCGTCATTAACGTTAAAAATAGACAGTGCGACAAAGAAGTACAGTCGGAACGGTAAAGACTGGATCAAGTGACCAGTCAAGATGGTGACATGAGACGCTGCTTTTCCTGAGCACGCCAATATTCAGGGTGCTAAGCACATTCCATTTTCTAAAGCAGGGGTGGCCGGCAGAAAGCAGTACAGCAAACTGATTTTTCGCGGCCACTATAATAAATTAAAAAAAGGGTTCTGGCAAGTACAAGGTGAAAGCATGGCCTCCGAGATGGCTAGCCGACGAGTTTTTTTCTGGCTGTTCAAATCACACAAAGAGAGCGCGATTTCACAGATGAGCGTGGCCCAATTCTTCTCACCGGGGCACTCACTGTTGAGGCCGGGAAAGGCTGCCGCGTTGTAGACGCGACGTGCATGAAACGATAAACAACAATTCAGCGTTTTATACAGCCTCCCACTAATTTAAAAATGTCAGGTGAAAGCGTAAGAGAGGCAAAATAAATTCTGAGACCCATTTGTGCTCAAATGCGCTTTTTTTGCTGTAAGTATGCTTGTCCTATGAACTATTTTACCTAAGATATGTGGGTGCCGCTATCTTGCGCCATCTTGCTGATGTTTTCTTGATTTGTATATCACAATGGGAGTCAATAACGTCCCGGAACGTCTCAGCGACGAACCAAAGTGCTTTCATGCGTAAGCGTCCACCGTAACATTGTTTGTTAAGTTGTTCAAGATGTGAAACAAAAAGGCCAACCACCCTAGATTCATAAAATTATTTATATTAGAGCATTTTAACTAAGTTGCACGGAAAAACAAAGTACAAATGACAGACACCTGGACACGGCGTACAATAACAACTGATACTTCATTGAAAAAACAGACATATACAAGCAGTTACAAGAGCACGTGCACTGAAAGAAATGATTAGTTGAGAAGGCAGATTGTGTTAATGATGCGCCTCCAGAAAAGCTACCTCACCGACAAGTAACGCAACCGAGGCTTTCGGGGCACACGAACACGATGTAAGAATACACAGAGGCTCAGACTCTCCCCGCAATGCGTGGAAAAGTGCAGTCCTAGCGCGTCCAGTTAATATTAGGGCCGTTATATGTTATCTAGCAGCTTCATCAATGCTTTCTGAGATGATGCTATGACGAGCGGAGTCAGCTATCTCGGTAGCAAGGTCGGTAGAAACGCGCATGCTGCTGACCTTTCAGGAGCGAAGCTCCCTATGGTGTCACCCGTTCGTCTCCCTTTATTGTTTGTTACTACAGGTGGCACATACTCGAGAGAGTGTTCCTTAGAATGTCCGCTGAATGGCGGTACTTGTATACTATGAATACATGACGAAAAGAATTATGAGAGGGCGGTACGTGTACTATACGCCGAATATGCAAATGGTACGACACTAGAGGGCGCTACTTGTAGGAAAGAAGGATCGACGTCACACGTACGGAAGGAGACGTACGCCACGAAGCGCGTACAATAGAAGCGCTGGTTTTGTGCGGGCGAGCATTCAGAGACTCGGTGACGGAGGTGGAGAAGGCTGCTGAGCAGCGTGCGTGCAGGGTGGCCGCGGCTCGCATTCGAAAAAGGGACCCCGACGTGCGGGCGCAAGAGGCAGAAGTGTGCCGTGAAGCTGCGCGGCGGCGCCGCGAGGACCCTGCGCTACGACAACAGGAGACCAAAGCGGCACGGCAGCGGCTCGCGGACCCAGCTTCGCTCTCCTCTCCATCATTCACTCCATGGAGATGCTGTTATTTTTTGTTCGGATGTGTTACCACGCTGTTTTGAAGTCAGGCTTCTTTTTCGTAGTGTGTGTTTAAAGTTATTCTATGATTGAAGGTGACGTCAAACTGCTGAGTGGTTCCGAATTGGGTAGAACGTGTTCTGTACTGAACTTCCGTTCTGGGTATTAGAGTAGTGCGGAGCGTGTGCCTTTTTTCAAAGTGCTGTCTGAAAGTGACCGTTGGCATAAATATAAGCATTCTAATAGTAACAACCACATTAATCAATTTGCTGTTTTTAAAGTACGTGCGTGGTTTAAAAATTTATATAATTCGTGGAACAACTTGTAAAAACCACAATTTTGTTACAAGAGACGCTGTAGTCGGAAGCTCTTGACTAATTTTGACCATCCGGGGTTGTTAAACATGCGCCTGCCTCTACAACCGTGGAACTTCCTTGAATTTTCTCCACTAAAAATATTTTGTGAGAAGAAAGTCGTTTATTCTAAATGTTTATCTTTGCATCGAGCGATGCTTTGAACAGACAAAATACAAGTGCAGGCGAGCGAAGCTTAGCTTTCAGTACTCCCCGAACTATTCGTGTTGACGATGTTCACAGCCTGCAGAAGGAATTTTTTTGTCGATAAATCTTTAAACCTGGTGATGCTTCATAAATAAAATGAGCAACTTCCTTCAAGTTTTGAGTGTTGGTCACGCCACTAAATACTCTAATGTTGGGCAAGCTGACGAATGCCAATGCACCAGCACCGCTTCGTTGCGTGCATTGGCTGTGGCACCATTAGACGGCTAACAGCAGAGTGCGCCAACGAAACCAAACTATATCTGGCCACTCAGGCATACTCAGTGTCAACACTACTATTGTAACGAGGTACTAAATTACTTTTGTAACGAGGTTTATCAGGCGAACCTAACGGGCAGGTAGAAGATTCGAGAAATCGACAGTACGAGGAAGATGGTGGAGCTCTAGCGCCGTTCTCGTGGCGCCTTACTCAGTGATGGTGCTTCTTGTTTCCTGGTGTTGGCATCATTTCTTAATTATAATTGCCCCCATCGAGAAGCCATCCTGGCGATCTAACAGGCGGGAACGAGCGGGTCAAAGTACGGCTTCGAGCTCCATCTCCACATAATCATGTCCAATATCATGTCCACGCGGACGATGGTCACCGAGCAGCGTAAGTGGTTCAATTGCGTAATTGACGATTGATGTGCGCTCAACCACGCGGTATGGACCATGGTAATTTGAAAGTAGCTTGGTAGACAAACCTGGTTCACAGGGTGGTACATACAGCCATACAAGGGTTCCAGGGGCGAACGTTGGGGCAGGAGGGTGGTCGTCGTCGGAGGCCTTTTTCTGGCATTGCTGGTCAACTGTAGTAAACTGCTGCGCCAGTTGGCGGCATTCTTCGGCGTGACGGGCGGCTTCGGATACGGTTGAGCACTCAGATACATCTAGTGCGTATGGCAGCAAAGTATCAATTGTGGGCGATGGTTGACGTTCGTAATAAAGGAAGAATTGGGAAAAGCCGGTGGTGACTTGGGTAGCGGTGTTGTACGCATAGGTCGCAAACGGAAGAACCAGGTCCCAGTTTGTTTGGTCAGATGTCACATGCGTCACGAGCATGTCACCCAGGGTCCGAATAAACCATTCAGTCAGGCCATTCGTTTGAGGGTGGTAAGCAGTACTCATCCGGTGTACATTATGGCACTGACGGAGAAGTGCTTGGATTACTCGACCCCGGTCACTGAGGAGCACGTGAGGAGGGCCGTGACGCAACACAAACCGATAGAGGATGAAATATGTGACGTCCTGAGCGGTCGTCGTATGAAGAGCAGCGGTTTCGGCATACCGTGTCAGGTGATCTACAGCAACCATAGCCCACCGGTTACCTGCTGTGGTCAATAGCAGTGGTCATTAAAGGTCAATTCTGACGCGATCGAATGGGCGGTCAGGGCACGCAAGCGGCTGTAGTGGAGCTGCTCCTGGATTCAGTGATTGTTTCTGTCGCTGACGCTCGTGGCAGCCGCGAATAAACTGTCGAACAAAAGAAAACATCCCACGCCAGTAGTACCGCTTTCTTAAACGTTTGTGGGTCTTGAAGAGACTGGCGCGAGCGCATTGCGGGTCGGAGTGAAATGATGCACAAATTGTAAAGCGCAGCTTTTTAGGCATAACGAGAAGCCATTTCCTGCCGTCCGGTGTGTAATTGCGTCGGTACAAGAGGCCACCTCGAATGATGAGGTGCGAAGCCTGGCGTCGCATTGCTCGAGTGGTCGGAAGTGTCGGTACCCCAGATAAAACGTCCAGAAGCGAAGTTATCTATGAATCGTCGCACTGTGCAGAGGACATTGTGTCGATGTCAAGAGCTGACAGCGCATGTTCTGTAGAAGATATAAAGGCAGCCTCAGTGGACAGTGGTGATCACGAGAGCGCTTCAGCATCGCCATGTTGGCGGCCGGAATGGTACACGACGCGGATGTCATACTTTTGAAGTCACAGAGGCCAAAGAGCAAGGCGACCAGATGGATTCTTCAGCGACGACAGCCAACATAAGGCATAATGATCTGTAACTACAGCAAGCGTGCGGCCGTATAAATATGGGCGAAACTTGTAAATCGCTCAAAGTATGGCTAAGCACTCATTTTCGGTAACACTGTAGTTTACCTCAGCCTTGTTGAGCGTTCTGCTGGCGCAGGCGACGACATACTCAGGGTATCTAGGCTTGCGTTGTGCGAGAACTGCACCGAGTCCGACGTCGTTGTTGTCTGTATGGATCTCAGTTGCAGCCGTGGGATCGTAGTGGCGAAATATAGGCTGTGATGCTATGAGACGGCGATGAGTGGTAAATGCGTGATCGCATTCGGAAGACCATAAAGAGATGTCGTTGGCACTGCTTAAAATTTGTGTCAAAGGGGCAACCATG